CCCCCCCCCCCCCCCCCCCCCCTCCGCGCCTCTCCCCGAGGATTCTGTGGGGCAGCCAATAGACATTTTCTTCTGTGTGCTTTCTGTCGGCCACACAAGGGGAAGGAAAAACATGTAGGTTTTACATATTCTTTGCTATTTCTAAAGAACTTTGTGTTCAAAGCACACACCCCTGTCCCTAAGCCCATGGCCCTCCCCCTGCCACCAGAGATTTCTGTCACTGTATGCAGTGCGTCGAACGTGACCCCGTCCCAGTCCTGTACAAACGTCGCTTTTCGTTTTAAGGTGGTAGGATCCGAAAACATGCCAAAAAAAAAAGAAGAGAACGCTTCGAGTAGCTTTGTATCCCTTCTGCCGAGGGAGGAAGCCTCAGGGTCTGTGTGCGTGTGACAAGGTCAGAGGTCACAGCGATGGCACAAGGAACTTGGGCGAGCAAGAGCTCCACCCACCCCTCCCTCTCACGCCATTTTTATCGACTTGAATGAACGTATTTTTCCATCTCTGCCTTCATGTACTGTTTATATAAAGAATATATATTCTCTTTACGACATTGTTTTCTTCCACAGGAAGTGAGGCATGTCCTGCACCCAGACATACTTTTGGAGAAAAATAGCATTGGTTTTAATTTAGTTTTTTTTTTTGTAAGTATATGGCTCTGGTTGTTTAGGTGGTGTTCAGGGACCGAGATACTCTGTCTGCAGGGGTGACACCATGTGCTCCTCCCTGCTTCCCTTGCCTGTCTCTACCTGCCTCCTTTCTCCTTCTGCATAGGGGAACAGCGCCCCCCATAGGCGGGGGCAGATTGTACTCCACCCAGCCCTCTTGCTCTTTTGAGCAGTACAGTTTGAGGAAAGCAGGGAGGAGCTTCTCCCCACCTGGAATTCCTCGCATCTAGCCCTCTTATTTTGTACACTTTATATACGTATTATATGTATATACATTTCCCCGATTTAATCGCTATTTACTTTCGTAAGAGGCAGGTGTTGCCTTCATCTCTGGGTCATGTGTGCATACGTGTGTGCGTGCGTGTGTATGTATGCGTAAGTGTGTATGTATGCGTAAGTGTGTATGTATGCGTAAGTGTGTATGTATGCGTAAGTGTGCGTATAAATGTGCACTGTAATTATCATTTAATTGTCGGAAGCATTCTTAATTTTCATTGTTCTTATTTTCAGTGGTTTTAAAAAGCGTCTCCTGCATGTACATTGGCTTTCGTGTTTTTTTTTTTGTTTTTTTTAAATCTCCGAAAACGATTTAATTTTATGGGATATTATAAGGCAAGGGTCAGATCACTAGTTCACACTTGAACTGAAGCAGTTTTCACGGCCTGATTTGGGAGAGACTGTGAAGTATGTACATGATGCGTACGCCACGTAGCAGGCGTGCTGCGCTCATCAGCAGCTACGCCGCTCGTCACATGTATGATATGTGCATGTTGTAATACATCCACCATATAATACATGGAAACTCGGTCATGCCATGAAATACTACTCGGGGTTTTGGTTACTGTGTTTGTTTCGTTTAGTTTTTGGTACAATGGTTGTTGATGGAACAGCAAACAGGAGCCTGCTAACCTCTGCTGAATGATCACTGGGTGAGCTGGGCGTCCTGGCAGTCTGCATATAAGAGGAATTTGATATCGGCATTTCCCATGTGTGTTGCCCTGTGTCGGAAGGTTTTCATTAACACACACTGTCCCTTTTCCCCCTGTATATAAACACCTGTATACATATTTTTTTGAAATGTTAGAAAATGCATTTTGCAATATGCATAATTATATTACATATGCAAGTTGCAACAATTTGACATTAGAAAGTGATATTCCATTTTTATATATTATATATGTGTGTGCGCGTGTGTGTGCGTGTGTGTCAACTTGCTTTTTCACAATGCAATGCTGTGTGGTTGTCTTGGAAGTATTTCTTTTTTTATAGGATGGGGCGGGGGGGGGTATTGTTAGGACCAGGGAAACATTATTATTATTATTATTATTATTTTATTGGTCAGATAGGAGGGGTTGAGGGATGACAGACAGAGGGGTAACGCTCCCCTTTCTCTGTCCCTGAGAATGACTTCCAGCTCTCTGGCTTAGTAGTGTCCGCTCTCTATTTTCCCTCCCTGACTCTCCCGAATTCAATCATTACCAACCGGACTCCAGTCTTAAGGGGGGGAGGTGGGGGGGACAGCGGTGGTTATGCCCGAGCCGTCCCAGTACCGACTCCGGGCCCGCTCCGGCGGCCCTGTCACCGTTGCTCGTCTCGAGCTGTTGTGCTCAGATGCAGAATGAGACCTTTGACAAAAAAATCATAACATGAAATTCCAAGCAAAATAAACTGTCTGTGAATAAGTGTGTTTTCAGTGCCATTATTTATTTCTCCATCCCTCCTGTGGCAGAAGTTTACACAGGTTAAACTTTTTTCCCCCCTCCCTAAATTAAAACTACTTCTCCATCATGTTCAGTCGCTTTGCCTGGAGAGATCAGGGGTGATGTCCAGCTAAACTTGCAGTGTCTTCTTTGTGTTGCACATTTTCATACATTTTCTGTTCTGCTACTAATTAATGGAATGAATCTCAAAGTCCCACCCATGTAGTGAGCAATGCGCCCTCCAGGTTTTAACCACAGGAATTTTGAGGGATTGTGTTTTTTTTTTAGTTATTTTTTTATGTTTCTGTAGCTGTAAGGTAATCATATGGAAAAGGGTGAAGATGCTGGAATCCTGTTGTGACAGGGATATATAATGTCTGTAATGTTGATCTTCATTTCCCCCAAAGGCAAAGGGCCCCCAGTTACCACCTGTGTACTTAAGGACCTACAGCCATTAGGAAAAAGGAAAAAAAAAACTTGATTATTGTACTGATGGGAATCATTCTTGTTTTGGATCGACCAAGTGCTTGGAAATGGCAGTCGGCCAGTGGCGGTCAGTTTAGTTAGCAGTGATCTGCCTCCCTCTTCCACAATTCTCTATGGTAGATAGGCCAGGCCCTCTGCTACTCAGGTTACTGAAGCTAAACGGCATAGTCAAAGTGAAAAACCAAGCTGTATCAAATACTACTTAACTGAATTTTCCAGAATGACCACAAGATGGCACTCTAACGAGCAAATGAAATTTTAAACTGCTTATGTATCCTCTATCCTAAATGGTGGAAATTGTATATGATTAGTCCATGTCCACTATCTAGATCAGCCTGATGGTGGCACTATAGTGCTTGAATTCCATTAAATGCTCCTTGCAGCTTTGAATTTCTGTTCTTGTTCTCTGTATATTATTTGTATATGCATTTGACATGAAATGTATGGATTTGTATTTTGTGTTCTGTTGTTGTGAGTAGGAGCTCAAAATAAAATGAATATCAGCATTTCTGAATTCAAGACATGATTATTTACAAACAAATATTTTCAATGCGTAACTTTTTAGCCAAAATTCAGTTTGATATTTAATCACTGGCAACTACCAAACAAGATTTCTTTAGCATACATCATAGCTGACAACTTAAGAGTGTTAGAATTGCATTTATTCATTAAGAGAGCTGATTTTACACTTGGAATGCTGAAAACAATGTTTCAAAGCCTTCAGGCACTGCAAAATAACCTTTATGGAGCTTTGCTCTGTTCTTCAAATTTTGCTGTGTACTGACCCTGGTGGGTTAACTTCCATCCGCATAAATATAAAATATTAGTCGCAGAAATAAGCAAAGTCAAGATCCAAGCAGACACTTTGAGTCTCTTTTCTCCACCGTTCCAGTCCTCACGAATAGAACTTGCTGTTGCAGACTTTTTTCTCCTTGGTCCTGGTGAAAATATTTAGATGCAAATAACAAACTTTCCAGTAGCATGTTTTCTTTTCCTGTTCTCATACGTAACAAAAGATTCATGAGCCAACTGTAATCTATAAATCCAATTATACTTTTGTTACTTATACAACTGTTGAAACATAAAATCCCCTCCATAATTCTGTCATTGCACAATAACAAAAGTATTATTATTATTTGAAATATTTCACAATAATAAAAATTACTAAAAGGCCTAAACCTTTATGGGAAACTCTTCAGTAAGACTGAATGAACGTCGCCATACAGTACAATCCATGTTTTGAGTTCAGTGAAGCTTTTTGGATATTGAGCCAAAATGTATTTTTTTCCTCATTACTCATGCTAGTCGTATTTATTTCACTCCGCTGCAGTGAAACATTGAATAATTGCACCTTGTGTACCTAGTGTTCCTCACACGCGTGTGTTCTTCCCAGGAACGGTAATCTTTCCGCTCACAATATCATCACGCAGTTTGCAGTTGCATGAGTTGAGGATCAGTGCTGCTAAGTTTGGCTTTTATAAATGGCTCCAGGTTTATTTTAACTGAAAAGTGACTTTGGGGAGGGGCTGTGGTTTTTAGTTTAATAAGACAATAACGACAAATTGTCAACTAGGCTACTTTAACAGGGTGTCTATTGTGCGATTTATTCACTTAGCAGCTTACAGTTAATTAATAAAAACCTGTGTATAATGTGGGATGATCGTAACAGGGGTTCGAAGATAAGTTCCAGCTTGATTAAGCCGAACAAATGTAATCCGAGATTAATGGTGTTATTCTTACTGGAACCAAGGCTTCGTCCCATGGGCCGCATTTAAGGGCAAACACGCAGAGATACTACACACTTCAGTGATGTACATTGACATGACCCAAAGCGTGCAAGGGTATGTGAAGGACCCAAGTGTGTAGGGATTTCCTGAAAACAATGGGACACACTTCACCTGTAGAGCTAAACAAGAAACACGCTACAAACATTCATTATATACTTTGCACACTTAAATTGAAACTTCATTGGAGGCATATTGGACTCTGAATAGCCGGCAAACTTCCTTGTCGTCAATGTCAACATTGTGGTCTGTCCACTTATCCATAGACCACTTACTTGCCAAAGTGTGAATAAAGTGCACGTCAAGCGCACTGAACTTATCTGAAAGATAGGACGCCCTTAAATATTTGCGCTAACCTCGTGAAACGCGCACGCCAGGTGTGGAAGTGTGTGGTGTGACGAAGCCTAAGACTATTTCTGGACTCCACCAAGAACTGTTTGAGATTCGTGATTCTGAAACATAACCTGCTCCGGATCAGCTTTGGTGTGTAGCATGAGTTACCGTGGTAATGCATCCCGCTAAGAAGAGAGCCAGCATTGTAATATGGAAAAGCCAGAGTTACCGCTACTTATCCTCAAAATGATCTGTCTGAGGAATCTGGCTTTGTGATACAGGCCCCAGGCCTGACGTTTCTTGTACTGCTGTTGTTACTGCTTTCATTATTAGACGGCCCACCTCTCTTTGGTATTGGATGCGCCCTGCTCCGCGTCGTCACGGTGATGCGAGGGGGCAGAGCGGTGCAGGTTGCTGTGGGTGTCGTATAGGAACGGCTCGCTGCTCAGTTCCGCCTGCCTCTTTCGCAGTTGGCAGGAGGATGAATAGAGGTCCTCTTCCACTTTCTGCAAGCGCAGACCGGCGAAGCGGTACACAGAGAAGACCCACGATATACCGTGAGCAGCAGCTCAAACAGGTGCCAGGCAAAACATTCTCCGAAGGCTAGAAAAACATTTTCATTTGCATACTGCAAAAGTTCCACAACTCTAAAAGATTTCTGTAGACTTAGTGAGTTTTGGAAATTTATCAAGAGGCCTTCATTGGTTTATCCAAGGACTGAGTGAGTGTTGGTTCCCAGTACTGTAACATGATAAGGAAGGCTGACTTTAGGTCATTGGTGGACTCATCTCAAAAACATGGCATTGAGGCATTGAGATGGGCATTGAGATCAAACTACTTTGTGTACTGCTCCGTGAGGAGACCTCACCCCGACCGGCGTTATGGTGATGTCGACCAGCAGTGATGCCAGCTCAATGTCCTCGCTGTAGCCGTTTCTCAGAGGCACGGAGCGATATCCTTAGGGAACAGAAAAGGCATCACGTGACTGATGAAAAACTCGCCTAAGAGACGTGAGCAACTCCACACAGACGTCACCTCCTCTACCTGAACGGAGGCCCTTGACGGGGAAGGTTCCCTGCGCAAGGAAGTTGGGGTCTGAGAACATGTCCTCCTCATTGACCACGAAGCGCAGGAAGGTGAGGTCCGGCTCGTACACGGTGAACTCGACTGGCGCCGGAGGAGCTGGCCACACTGGATTCAGTCCATTGTCCGCTGAAAAATGCACAAGCATTCGCTATTTTCATCTGAATACACCCGACGAATGTGAGGCATAACATTACCATGGCCTATTTTAGTTTGTTCCAGCAGGTTCTGACAGCTGAATGTGACGGATTTTAAATCGTCAGTCTGGAAATGAGCAGAAATTTCTGCTTCGTAAAGGACGTTATTGTTTTCTGTGGTCTGACACCTGCGGTAAAGCCCTGGCATCGCCATGACAACAGCTCATAGGCTTTCTGCATCAAGCCAACAGGGATCACAGGTATACAAGAAAATATCTAAACTGAAAATTCAGCTGTTAGATACACAGAGTACAAGATGACTCTATGCACCCAACCCCCGCCCAAATAACTCATTCTTACGGCAAACAGTGGTCTTGAACTTGCGCTCCTCGGTGTAAAGGCCGAACAGCTCGACCTCCACAAAGGGGCTGGTGAGGCTGCGACCTGGCTTGGGCAGGTGCCTTGCTGCTATGACCTGTAGGGGGCAGCAGAGGGACCATCAGCTGGCAAACAGAATTACTTTACCCATACGCATAAAATGCTGCCGGCATTCTGGAGAGCTGTGCCAGTATCGCTTACTGGTGAATACTGACCCGCTTCAAGCCCTGGTATCAGGTTATGTGTGAATGAGAAAGCATTGTGAAATAGGTTCTTTCTTGCAAATAGTGGGTCTGGTCTTCTTTCACCAGGCATCTAGTGATACATACTGGGATTTGCAGTGATAATTATAGAGGGCACTGATAATCAGAGAGCGAATAGGAAAGCCTTACTCTGACAATAATGGTGTATTTGCCTCTCTTGTCCTGCTGCTGCTTTGGGTTAAAGCTATCAGACCGCAGAATCTCTGGGTGGAGCACATATCCAGTGCTTCCGTTCAGACTGAAGAGGGCGTTGTTCAGTTGCATGTACTTGTCTTGAGGAAAAACACATTTAAAATGATTGATCAATTGTTTATCAATTACCAGGCCTAATGAAGGCAGCATAGGGCAAAAGGCAGGGGTACACCCTGGACAGGATGCCAGTCAGTTGCATGTTGGGCATGCACACACACACACACACACACACAGACCTGTACTGATATCTTTGTGGGGACATAATTTCTATGGTCAAAACCCACTGATTTGATAACTGTGGTCTCAGTGTAGTTTATAAATTAAACTGTATCATAGGTATGTGCACGGAAAACAAGTAATTTATACTGTATACGGTATCGGATCCCCCCCGCAGCTCTTGGAACGTATCCCCTGTGGATACGGCCACACTGCTATATTTAACATGACAGTTTGCTAACGGTGACATCAGCGCAGGGCTGCCAACTTCGGTCAGCTGGCTAGAGTGAGATTTTCAATTCGAGACAAGTCTCAGCTTTTGATGTAGCTAATTTTAGGGTTATAGTGGAATAACATATTTGCCATAAGATTTCTTGCTTGAGAACCTCAGAGTGTGAGTTGGCAGCCCGGTCAGCGTTCAGTGTAAATGAAGTCATCCGGTTAGATACAGTACATGCTACTATTGACTTAGATTAGTCATATACAACCATAAGCAATATGCAACAACTTTTGGTTCCCAAATCAAAGCTTGCTAGCAGCAGTCCAGTTACAGCTGCTCTTAGCTTGAATAACCAAGCTTGGGGACCGGTGCCTTCACACCGAGCGGGCAGCTACTGCGGGCAGTTCATGCAGTAATGTTACACCTTCCCTGCCCCCTTCGTACCAATGCAGTGCGGGTCACTTCCACCTTTATCTGCAAAGTCACTTTGTTCATGGTTTGCTGATTATCTTTCAGTGCCTTTTCTCTTTAAGCAGCCCCCTTCCACTATATTACTGTTCATGTTACGTGTTCTGCTCTAATGTTCTTATACCAGTTCATGAGTTTGAGTTCCAAATTCGCCTTTAATATGCCAGTAGATAAGCTGGTGTTTATGTGAAGTTTATGTTGGGTTAGCAGACACATCTATAATGTAGGGAAAATAAATAGTTTAAACATAAAATGTGAATTTGTCCATGTACTCCAGCTATTTCCCTGGGCACAAGCTGCTACTGCACTGTAATACAGTCCATTGTGTGAAATGCTACCCACCCAAAATTTCTAATTGCCCCCCCCCCAACCTGAGTAGTCTAGATCTGGGACTGACCACACACACAGATCCCCATTCATTTCTATGGGGAAAACTCTAATCCCAACATGACGACCTTAACCCCAACCCAGCCCAAACCTCAACCTGAAAAATGAAAACATCTGTTTCCCACAATGTAATATAAACATAATCCACACATATGCACGCACACACACACACACACACACACATTAAAAATAGGCGAATCTAAAGACATTTCATACATATTTTCACGTTGCCTGAGCATAATCTGAACAAGCTTCACCGGTACCAAGTGATGTAGAAGCAGTTCTAGTCTAACTCTTACCCGCAGTCTGGAAGTTGAGCGCCACCATGTGGGAGCCACAGATCCACAGCGGTAAGGGGTCATAGTTGGAGGAGTCCACACGCTGCCCCTTGGGGTAGATGCGGCTCAGGGCCTTGCGGTTGTACTTCAGGAAGTCGTTTACTTTGCCGTCACTCTGCGGGATCTTGTTCTCTACGAAGGAGCGGATCTCCTTGTAGTCGTATTTTTCTGGGGAAACACGCGGGACAGTTGTGATGGATTGGTAGACAGAAGGGGCCCGTGGACTGCATAAACGTGATGCTGTGCATATGTGCGTGAGCATGACGTGGTCCTTCACTGGGTGTGGGGGCCGAGCGTGCCTGGCAGGCAGCCTGTGGTTGAGAAACACATATCTTTAGTTGGAGGTGTTAAAAACATCTTACGGAAACTCTCTTTATCTTTGCTCCTGGGTTGGCAGTACACCACCAGGTCCGACATCTTTTTCGAGACTGTATTCTGACTGCTGCGCTTCTTATTCTCCTTATCCAGTGTCATCTGTGGATAAGAGTAAACATCCTGTCACTTTCGAAATTTGCCGTGACTGAACCGTGTGTATCTGTGGCGTAAATGAGCGGCATGGACGTTGGTGAGAAGAGTCTCGTGTTTGATCGTCCTGCAACTGCCGTGCAGGGTCCAGTAATCCGGGAACTTCTGCTGGACACCCTACATCTCCATGTGTTTAATCAAACATGGTGACTGATGAATGGTATGAAAGAGGAGACCCTGGCCTTGAGAAATTCGTTGTTGGTGCGCTGTGTGACGTCCCACGCCGCCGTGTACCACTCGAACAGGTCCTCCACGGTGTCGGCACTGATGTCGAAGGATGTGACATTCTCGTCATCCTTGAAGGTGAGCGTGAACACGTGTGGTCGGCCATTCTTGTCCTGGGCGGACTTCACTGGGGGGGGAATACAATGAAGTCCACACCGTGCATGACTGGGGATTTTAAGTACAGACACAGCGGCACATTCACTTGTCCAACTAGTTGGACATCTACATATGAGTACTGTTACATCTTTAGTACTAAATTTTCAAATGTACTTAGTAGCAACATTTACTATTATTTTGATGATACTTTTATTTTATATGATAGTGTGTAAAAAGTCTTGTGCTGTCAAAGAAAATGTTTAAAGTTATCTCAGTGGTAACTTTACACTTGGTTAGACTAAATAGCACATGTGCAAATGAAGAGTAATATCATAAAAACTAACAGGAATTTCTTCTTTTCTCCAAAAAGTTACTGATATCTTGTTGGATGGCTAGATGAACACGCTTCAGTTCCCAAACCTCTCCTCAGGGACCCCTCAGCCATTCCACGTATTCATTAAATTTCACCACCAGCTCAATTAATTAATTAACTTAATTAGTTAAATAATTGATGAGGTATTCAATAGCCAAACAGGGTGTGCTAGTGCTCGAGCCAAGACACATGGGTGTATTGGATGGGTGCTGAAGTGGCCTGGCTGACTGACTTCTGCAGTTATTTATACCAACATAAACATAACTGTAATTTTGCATCCTGAGACGTTTGCACTGTGCTGCATATATGGGTAATACTGGGAATGTGCCTGTAACAATCCCAAGGCTCTGGTTGCTCGTGGCCAATAAAACAATACAAATTCTGAACCAGAGGTGGAAAGTTCAACTCCAGTAAAAATCCAGACCAAGGTTTTGTTTCAACCAACCAGTTGAGTACTCTGTGGCTATGACTCTTTATAATCAACTGGTTGGTTGAAACAAAATCTTGGACTGGATTTTAACTTTCCAGACCTGAACTATCCACTTCAGTCTTGAATATTTAACACACTGAGCTGCCCTGTGACCCCTGGATGCGACAGCTGCCACCACCCCCACCCCCTAAGTGTGAATGCTAGGCGCTAGTGCACAGAGCTGCATGTGGCCCACACGGAGCGTGCTGCACACGGCAGGGTTTCTCACCATTGCACTTGGTCAGGTCGACCACACCCTTACATAACTGTCCCAGGGGATTGTCCTCTGTTGCCTGTGATGAACACAAATCAGCTTGTAAACATGCAGTCAAAGCCACACCTTCTCAGGAGATGTGACAGGTACTTAAGGGGACAACAGGACCCACGACAGTGCAAGACACGAGGCAGCTGTCCGCAGAGTAGGGGGGTAAACAGGATTTTTTATTTTCAGTTTATCTGAAACGTGGCTTAAATGAAGACATCTGTTCTTACTTCCAGAACAGAGAAACATCTACATGCAGATTTTAAGTCCCCAAATTCATGCTGTTTCGGTAAGTAGTGGATGGATGGATGGATGGATGGATTCAAGTTTAGGACAGTTAAAGTAACCAGTGCAGCCAAGGCAGCTGATCTTCAGCTGAAGGACAAGTCAAACTGCAAAGGGCTCCTTAGCTTTGTTAAATGCATCATTTTAAAATGTGTTGTCTTTGGTTTAAGTTAAATCCAAGCCTTTTCTCCTTGCCAGCACATTCAAACTGAGGAATTACAGTCAGCATTGGCAGGCTGATAGCTTGATCACTGCACTCAGCATTGAATGTGAACGTGGACACCTGCCCAGAGTATTATACGTAAGAAATAATTGACGACGGGCCGTTGAATTATTAGAAAAATAATGCACACCCGAGGTGGTGATGCGGCCACGACGCGAAGCGGAGTGGCCGTTATACCTCGGGTGTGCATTATTTTTCTAATAATTCAACGGCCCGGAGTCAATTATTCCGCTTATACTACGGTTACCACACCTCAAGACATCGATCAGATGATATATTTCAAGGGATTCGTCCGGTTTTTCTACTTAAATCGCTATTGTGAGTAGGATTATTTCTTCCGCATCTCATCCAACGACTCTTACGAAGTGATATGGAACTGTAATGCGGTCAAGAGAGCTGCCTGGAACTACGTTCCAGGAACTACGTTCGCCGTGCATTTCCCTGAAAATAACTGCACACCTCAGAACGTTCGTCAGCCAATCAGATTCAAGCATTCAACGGTCCCGTAGTATAAAGCCTGGTATAGATCGGCATGGGCAATATTAATGCAGACACACAAACATGAGTTATTTACAGGGAAGCCTGAATCACCTGGTCACTCTGTTCTGGCGTTTTGTTGTTGGACATCTCCTCAACGTAGTTGGAAGGGAAGTAAAGTTGAGTCATTCCTCCATAGTCCCCCTGCCACCTGTAGGGGTCAGCAGAGAGGCATTAAGACCTAACATTGCAGCCATGTACAGCACGTTGGCCCGACGTGTGACTTCGTCTCACCAGGCGTTGATGTTCTTGGCGACGTTGTGGATCAGGGCGCCCCTGGTGAAGGTGAGCTCGTCGGACCTCATGGCTCTGTAGTCGTACAGGGCCCTTACTGTGCCCTGACGTCAACAACACAGACAAGAGCACACGTAAACGGCATGAGTGATGTGTAGGGAAACCGGCAGACACAGTGTCAGCAAAAAAACAAAAACGTTTCCAATTTTAAGTTAATTTTTTGTGATACTACATTTAGTAACATATACATTTAGGAAATACAGGGTGATCCAAAAGTAAGTATACAGTTTTTATTTTATAGTACTGATTGGGTCATGTTTAGTCTCTTAAGTGTTTGAAATGTCTTTGCTTGCGAGATGAACTCCTTTAATTCATCCACTGTGTGGGGGGTTCCCCTCAAAAACCTTCTCCTTTACTATGCCCCCCCCCCCTCCCCAAAAAAAAGAACAAGTCCATGGGTAAAAAAAATATTTGCAGAATAACTTTGAACCATTACTTTATAAAACAAGAACTTTTGCCCCACTGTTACACTGGTGTGTTTGAGTTGTAGCCCCCATTCTTTGAAGAATACCAGTTACATGAATGACCAGAGAAAGCCAGAACTAGCAATACAGTGTGACCCCCAGCCCACAGTTTCAGTAACCGTGGTTTCAGTTATCCATGGTTTACCGCTGAAAAAAAAGGAAAATTCCAGAAATAAACAGTTAATAAGTTTCAAACCACACGCCAAGGCTGTAACATGATGAAGTCCACCAGCCCATTCATGCCCAGTACAACCAGTCAGTACCCACAGATATTTCTTAACAAATAAATTTTTCTCATTACAGGTTATGAACAGATACATAATAAATTCAGTGGAAAATGTGTCAGTGTGTTTTCCATTGTTCATGTTTAAAAAGCATGATTTTTATTGCTCCGTCATCCCTCGATATTCTTTTTCATTGCTCTATCATCGCTTGAGAATAAAGCTAAAATGTTAGAATCCTTTTAATTTGAGAGCACAGCACTTTACAGTGATGTACAATAATGTGCAATGTACTTTATTATTAGTGTATTTAATCAGCATAACAATTTTCTACTGTGTTCAAATCATTTAAAAGTGATTTCTACCAGTCAAAATGATAAACTCGGATTAGCAAACACAACATGCCACTGAAACACAGGACTGATGGTTGCTGATAACCGGCCTCTGTACATAAAATGTACATATTGCATTAAAAATCAGCTGTTTCCAGCTACAACAGTCCTTTACAACATTAAGAATTTCTACATTGCATTTCTGAATAATTTGAAGTTTAACGCTTTTCTTTCGGAAACAATGAAATTTCGAAGTGACCCACAACTATTGAATGGTAGTGTACATGCTGCTTATAAAGGAGCTATGAATGTATGAGTGCATTATGAAGGTGCAGGCATAAAGCATTGCCATTTAATGTTGGTAATGTCTAATTGTGCATGACATCTTAACTCTACGTCGTTCGTAATTTCTATGTTAAATGATAGAACTTAAGAATGAAGTAGTATTAAGGAGGCTTCGGGAAGCTCATCCCCTCTTCTTTTGGCCAGTCTGATTGGCCAGCTCCTGTATACGTACCGATGGTGGTTCTATCTCATGTGGTTCCACATACACTTTCTTCTCGTAGATGGATGCACAGTCTTGCTCCTGTGCAGAAACATACCAGACGGTTAGGAGCCGCGCTTTAGGTACAACAGCCAACATTTGCCGCTGGAGCTTGACTCCATCAGAGTGCTTTGGCGTGTCTTCAGGAATGAGGTGTCCAGGAGGATCCTCTCACCTGGCTGAATCTCTTCACCAGCTCTTCTGTGACTGTATAGCGGAGTTTGATCTTGCGGTAGAGTGGGTTCTTGCGGTAGTAGCTGACCAGATCAACCAGACTCTCGAACTCGGTTGAACTACCCAAAACGAACTTGCTTCCCTCCTTCGCGATACGACAGTGCTTAACTTCCCCATCGCCCCTGAGTCACATGACAACAGGAACAATACTTCAGACCTACTGAAAGACCATGAACTCCACTATTGGCGGCATTGTCAGTGGCTGATACAAAATGTTTCCATATGCTACAACCAGTTCTGATGACTACACTGAAGCATGAAAATCTATTCTAGTAGACCCCAAAAATTAAATTATGAATAGTGAAAATGGGCATAATAGGCCCCCTTTAAAGAACAGCTCTTCACGATAGTGTCCCACCTAAGGCGTTCCCCGCCCTACAGAATAATCAGTCCAGATGGCACAGGCTAAGCCAGGTGGAGGAGAGAAACCGCCTGTAGGCCTCTCGTAGAAGAGCGATCCCGGGGGGCCTCTCGTAGAAGAGCGATCCCGGGGGGCCTCTCGTAGAAGAGCGATCCCGGGGGGCCTCTCGTAGAAGAGCGATCCCGGGCCCCGTACCTGAAGGTGATAGCGACAGAGTTGTTGTCCTCCCTCTGCCGGATGAGGAAGGCTCCATCACGGGGGATCCTCATCAACATGTCCTCCGCCTCCCCCCTGCTCAGATTACTGTAGAACCAGCTGCAGAGGAGACGAGAGGGGTGCCGACGTTACACTGTCTCTTTACCGTTACCCGTCCATCGCCTCCCCTCAGCTCCTGCACAGCTTCTACCCTGAAGCCATCCGTCTCCGTAATAAATACAAGAACACAGGCTACAATTGCCAGATACATGGCAAGGTTACTTCTATCAGTTGCACTTCTTCTTGACTGATTGTTATACTGCACACTTGCCTACACATCTTTGCACATTACACACATATACCCACTATCAAGTGCAACCTATACTTATTGCACTGGTAGGACTGGTGTATGTACCATATTGCCTGTTTGCACTGTATGTTTTTCTGTATTTTATTTCATTCTATTATTATTCATTTGTTTATTATTTTTTATTTAAACCCTATCATACTCTGTTATGTTTGCACTGGACAGTTGTCCTTCATTCCTGTTTTCACTGTGTCCTGGTTGCACTGTGTCGTCTCTGTGTTCACTGCTTGCACCGAACTACAACCAATTCTGGTATGTTCACATACCGGCAACATGGTGTTCTGAGTTCTGCTACCCCGGAGCACTGTCAGCCACTGCATTATTCCCCCGGAGCACTGTCAGCCACTGCATTATTCCCCCGGAGCACTGTCAGCCACTGCATTATTCCACCACGCTACGCTATGAAGCACTACTGGGGATCCTACTTATCTGCAGCAGTCATGTACCTGAACCTCTCCTCCTGACACACCAGCCCCTCCCCCAACCAGAACACACCAGCAAGCAGCTCATCTCTACAACCGTGAAAGTCAGGGTTTTTTTTTCTATTATATATAAATAATAAGAATTAACAGAAGGTATATCTATTTTTATCTACATATTTACTAAATATCCTCTTTCAGAATGTACCATGTGGGGGGGGGGAGGGGGGTGTTGCTCAGCAGGTTAAGCCTCTCTGCCTGTGATCAGAAGGTTGTTGGCTCAAGCCCCAGACTTGACAGTTGGCCCCCTGAGCAAGGCCCTTCAGCCCCCTGAGCAAGGCCCTTCAGCCCCCTGAGCAAGGCCTTTCAGCTCCCTGAAATGCTTAAGTGGTCTGGCCCTGCACTCCGATCCACAGCTTCACTCTCAGTTGTGTGTGTGTCTGGGTGTCTCAAAGGAGAGGAAGTCAGTGTATGTGAAAAGCAGCATTCCAATGCACTCATGCTTGTGCGAACGGCAACTAATCATTTCCAGTTTGTGTACTTTTTAAACTTATTCGCACTCTGTTTACTAGTCTGCACTGCGTGTACCACCTTGCATTTTGGGTTGCAAGGCGCCCCCGCAGGGGCGCGGGGCGGACGGCCGTGGCTCACCCCTCGGCGAGGTGCGGGTTTGGGCGCGGCACAGCGTCAGTGAGCCGCAGGTCGAACTCCATGCAGCGCAGCGGGTTCTCCCGATAGTGCATGATGAGCTCGTAGACGCTGGAGAAGTGCAGGTTCTCTGTCAGGAAGAAGAACGTCTGTCCGGCCTCATTGCTGGAGCGGATGCGGCAGTGTTGCACTCGACCTTTACGCCTGCGGGGGAGACTGAGGTTTTATACCCCACACACACTCTCCACAGCATTCAGCCTCCGTTATCAGAGCTATACAACCCATAGGGTCAATACTCCAGACTGTATGTGCAATCGGGGGCGGATACAAGGGCGGGGCTACAGAGGCACCAAACCCAGCTAAAAGCTGATTGGCCACCAGAGTGTCCCCTCCCCCGATTCAAAACATATCATTAGCTAATGATAGAGATGCCCCCTATGTATGAATTATGAGCTATTTTATGTTCCCCACCTTAAAAAGTCTTATTAACTCCCCTGTATATTAATATATTACACACATCCATCATCCTGCAGCATAACCCATCAAACCACCCAGAGTTCATATTCACTGCTACATCTAACTGACCAGAAAATAAACGGCAAATGACTCACGACTTCAATAGGCTGAGAAGCTCACTGGTTGGAAAAAATATGCATCACACAATAACTACAGAACAGCTTCCAAGCAAGAATAATACTACTCCATGACCAGCATTTTAAAAAGCGATAGAGTTGACGAAATAGATAAAGGAAAGAAAGATTGGTGATGTGGATGGAGGTGGAAGGGAGGAAAGTGTACGGGAGAACGGGAGCGGCCGAAGCGGGCGTCTGAGGTACCAGAAGGACAGGGTGTAATCCGTCAGGTAGGTTTTACTCTCGCGCACCAGGAAGGTGCCGTCATGCCCCCCCGACTCGGCACAGTACTCCTGCAGGAGGTGCTCCGCCATCTGCCTGCCTTCCGTCATCCTCCCGTGGAACCAAGGCTCCTGGTCGTGCAGCTGTTTGGGGTTCGTGGACTGCAGGCACAGCCAGAACCAGGATCAGAACCAGCTTCATTATCACCCATATGCACGTGTGATGTGTTTCGCACAGTATGTCAGCAAAGTAACAAGAAATTTATATTACTTAAGACTGTAAATGTCAAATTCACTAATCTGGACGGGCGACTGTACTTTGAATTTAGATATTGGATGAATTACAGCTTGATTGACATGGGGAAGACATTGAAAGGGGCGGGGCCTGGGAGACGATGGGAGTCGTGGGGCAGGGAGGGTGTAGGAGAGACGTGTGGAGAGAAGAAGAAAGTAAGGAGTCTGTCCTCAAACCTCCCCCTCGTCCAGGAGACCATCTTACCTTCTCAGATTTTAGCTCATACTCCTCAGCGTAATACAGCTTGTCTCCATAGATCATGCAGTAGTGCTGGTTCCATTGCTGAAAACAGGGACAAGCAGCTCAGCAGGGTGAAGGTAGAGGCAGCTTGGAGGCGCATGATGAACCTATGGAGCTGCCTCCTGAAAGGAGGGACGCCTACAGCACAGACGCTTTCAGCATCATACAACTTGGACATGGGTGCTGCAATAAGCCCATGTGGGCCCTAGGCAAGCCTCGCCGGTGGCCCTACACCATCTCCATCGCGTAGCTGTCCTGTGTTGGCACTACAGAGACAAAGTGAGACTGGCTTTTCTAAGTTGTTGCCCCCTCAGAAGATGGCGGCCTCGGGGCGAGACGCCAGAACGTACCTCATCCACAGGATCCCAGATGTAGAGGTTCCCCTGCTTGTCGCCCTTCTGCTGACTGCCTCGATCGTCTAGTCGCACCGGCTCGTCTGTAGAGCTCAGCTTCTTGTGCTGCCGGGACGGTACAGACGGCGTGAGTGCGGATCTCGCTGGCTGGCTGGTGTAAAAACACCCAGACGTGGGCACCGGGCATCGGGCAAAACAGCTGACAAATGAGGTCATATCATACCAAGAAATCCTACAGTCATCATCAGATACACAGTGTAGTTAAGGTTAACCAAAACCATGTAGAGAGACTGTAGAGGGATGAACACAGGGATTTGCAGCAGGTATTACACACCTACACGAAAGTGTTAAAAATGATGATAACCTTTGATTAGCAGCTTGCTAACACATTGATTTAATTGTTTTAATGTCGTAATTGCATAAGTTATACTCCTATAAAAAATTACTCTTCTCCCTTTGAGACAATGCTGTCCAATCAGGGTCTATCAGAATATCTTAAATATGGCAAATTCAGTACGATAGACAAATATCATGAATTCTAACACATTTCCCCACTGCCCATGTGACCACCTCTCCCCCCCGGCTGTGTCTAAAAAGGAGGACCAAGGGTCAATAAGGAGGACACCCTTTAAAAGATGTAGAGCAGGGTGGGGGGCAGTATATATCAAATACATGCTATGGAAGCTGAGAATGATTTCATTATCTCGATAACGGAGAAAAAATTATTAATACAAGCGTGGCATCCATAATATGTGTGTTTAGGGATTTCACATTTTTTTGTCCAAACGGGGGTGAAGGAGAGCAGTGCAAGGCCTTGCTGGGACAGCGGGTAAGGGGGAGGGAAAAAGGCGCACAAGTGGGAAAAAGGGAGGACCCCCAATGGCAGTCTGGAGAGGGGGCAGGAAAATTGTACTGTCTGTCCGAAATCCAGATGAGTCGTCACCCAATGTGTCACACAAAGTGTGAAGGACAAGCTTATGGCCAGAAACAGGGCTGGTGTCACTATGGGGAGAGTAAGGGTTAATCCTAACCCTAACCCTAACCCTCCCCCATTCCTGTTCAGATGGTGTTGGCTGGTCACATGACCATTCTCTTCCTGTCTGTCATTACACCCACTTCCTGTCTCCTGTCCTGCGCTCAGTCCCTCACCTTCAGTATGATCTTGCCCTTGAGCTGTGCGGGGGATGGCAGCTGGTCGGCCATGGGCTCCACAGGAATGGTAAGTAGCTTGTCTTTGAACACCTTGGTGAAGATGTCAGCCATTTTGTCCTGTTGCTCTGTGCAACAGTGTTCCTCGATGGACAGTACCACGGGATACCTAACGGGGGGCGAAAAATCCTACTTCTAAAAGATATGTTCGCAAAGTAGCATCTAATGGTTACAGAATTATTTAAATCTCGAATATGACAGGTTTCAGTTCCAGGTAGAACAGAAACTATTTTTAAATACAATCAGTATTAATAAATAAAAAGTAGCACGGGATTACCGAATGCTGTGTACTTGTTCAGTAGCATTTTTTATTGTGTAATAAATGTTTTTTAACTGTGTTTCTCATCTATCTTTGGCACACAGATGTTTCAGTGAGTGTTTGAGATTCTAGGACTTTTAACGTGGGGGCATAAAAGGGGTCATAATTCAGACATTAGCCAATAATCTCTTTTGAATCAGTGAGTGACAGGGGAAGAAGCACTCTGGAGACCAATCATCTTTCAGATGGGCTACCTCTGTAGCCCCACCCTTTGTATGCCCCTGTTGCCCAAACCTTGGGGGCCCCACACAAATGCTTGGATTGGGTGGTGCTGAACAGCACTCACTCAGACGCTACGAAGGCATGGTCATTGATGGCCTTCACCACATCCTCGAACTTGATCTTGGTCGTCATGGTCTTGCCGTGGTAGATGATGGGCTCGTTGTTTGATCCGTCCCAGCAGTCCACTGTGTAAATGCAAAGGGAGATGCCCGCTCCATCAAATACAAATGACACAGCTTTGCGTTCTAGTCCAGAAATAATGCAGTCGTGGGTTAAATATGGACGTTGCAGTCACATTCACAGATAAAATTGCTTTTTATTTATCAGACACCTTTATCCAAAGCGACTTTGGATTAGTCAATCCCAGGAACAATTAGGGGTTATGGGCTCTACTCTAAGACCCAACAGCAACATCACTCAGCTAGAACTGGGATTTGAACCAATAACCTTCCCATCACAAGCAAGAGCCATAATAGGTTATCACGGGGGTGGCGCTCACATTCGACGCAGCGGCAGCCCATACGCAGACAGCGTATATAAGCCTCTGGGGACGACTCGCTCCGGAGCTGGTCGCCCGTCAGGTACCTGAAAACAAAAAAGTGATTACTTTTACAAAATGCAGCATTGTGATGCACGAGAAATATCCAGTCAGCATGCAAAAACCCTGGCAGATGCATGCAAGGCAACAGACAAAGGAGAAACCAACCCAAGAGCCCAAGAACAATATTCTAATACTGTCTAATATTCTAATATTTTCGAGAACTCGCTAACCTCTGAGATTCACAAATCTGCAATGGCACTAACATTGGTGATGTTACTTCTTAAGATCCTGTGAATTTGTGGAAAAGCCGCATCATATACTGCAGGCAGTGAGACATCAGTGAAGCAGTGAGGCATCAGTGAAGCAGTGCTGACGTGGGCAGTGGTGGCTTAATGGTTAGGGAAGTGCACTTAAAACTGAAAGATTGCAGGTTTGAATCCCCGACCAGCAAGGCACCACTGAAGTACCCTGAGCAAGGTACCACCCCCAAGCACTGCTCCCCGGGCGCTGAATTAGTTGCCCCCTGCTATGTCACAACATCACATATGGGTTAAATGCAGAGGACACATTCTATTGTTGTGTGTCAACAATGACCACTGATCTCTAAATTCTGACTTTGGAGTCTGTAGTGAGGTGTAAGTGGCTAACAAGCCAACAAAATCCCTCATGCTCCCCCATGGAAAACAGCTGATCACCCAATGAATCTTCTCTATTATTTTGGTATTTGTGTCTTTAGCTCAGTTGCAGCTAACTTCGAAACTGACTGAAGTCTAAATGTCAGCCGGCAAATACTGCTCAAAGCTGACCTGTTGGACTGATTTTTACCGTACATCGGCCGATGCTGATATGTTAACCAATATACTGTGCATGTCTGATTTCACCGCATCACTGCACTGACGTGTTGTGTGAGGAGTTGATCCAGTAATGCGACAGCGGATTGTTCATGTCCAGGTTGTTCACTTCTGAGAACTTCTCATCCCAGATGGAATTCTCCTTAGAGAACAAAAAGCTGAGGAACTGCCAAAAGACAAGAGACAAGGGTTAATCTGAAGGGAAACTACTGCAACACACATGCACAACACAAAGAAAACATCTATAATGCAGAGCAGCAAAACAGAACAGCACACAGGGCAATATCTGCTCTTCAAATGTGATAATTATACAGCACCATACAGCTGACATTGCTAAATGAAATTCAGCTTTATTTGCCATTTGGGACAATGGGACGGCATGTACCGTCTTTTTTGTCATATATTTTTATTTGAGAGAATATGAAGTATATAATACAATTATATATATTTATGTATATATATATACA